AGTACCCACTAAGAGGCAGTTATAACACTGCAAGGACTCACAGTGGAAGGATCCTTACACTAAATCCCTATTTAGCAGGAGGTACCCCCTAAGCATGATGATGGAGAACTAAACTTCCATTCACTTGTGCTAGTCAGCAAGGATGAATTCAACTACTAAACATATACATGTAACCATCATGTATTAATGAACTAGCATATAATCAAATTTATCTGTTATCTCCTACAATTCAGGCTATGTTTATATGGAGAGCTTAACCAATCAAGGCCAGAGAACTTACCTTAATATGGCTAACATTACCAACCTAAAAAATCTCTCCCTTGATTAAAACTAAGTTTCAGAGCTCTTCAAATCAGTGCTTAAGGCCAAAGTCTTGACATTTGGTGTTACACTGGGCAAACAGAAAAAGTAAGCAGGCTTAAAGCCTGATCCAGTAGCATTTGTGAACCATGCTGTTCTCAAGTGAAAATCAGACCCAGGAATTAAACTTACATAAAGAAACTAGGCTATCCATGTCATGCAGCTATCATATCCAAACTCACAAGTGCCAGCCCATTACTTCCAGAGATTTTTCTAGAGGTATCTGGTTCTTCTCAGTGTGCACATGTTTAACTTAGAGCTACTGACAAATATCTTCTTATCCACTATTCAAAGCAGAACATACCAAAGCAAAGACCATCAGCTCCCAAACTCTTTTTTTCCAGTCACATGTAAGATCCACAACATCCAACATCACCTTGACATTTATTCTCATTAAAATTCCACATACAAAGTTATTGCTGAAAGTGACCATGGAATTAAGATCATGCTGCCTTCAAACTTCTTAAAGGATTTGCTGGAGGCACAGCATGCTCCTCAATGTTTTAATATTGCCTGTAATCCCTCAGAATGTAATAGAAAAAATAATCTAATGCATGTTAGAATGAACTGGGGAGAAGGATGGCATTTCTGTGATTTTTTTTTGAAAAAGTCTTCAGAACTTCAGAATCTTCATTGAGAGTTTTGGGTTTAGGTTTTTTTTTCTTTACTTCTGGGAAGAGAAAGCACTGATTGACTGACTCAATATGTCAATTAGTACAGAACTGGTTTTACAAAAAAAGTCTCATGTCATGTGGATTAGCTTAATGGACAGAAAGCCACATGGGGCATAGAATTTTAATCTACTTGAAAAGGGAAAGTGACTGAAGACATGCTGTACAATATGTTCATATAGTCATAGCCTACACTGACAAAATTAAGTGTCAGTGGTTAGATCAGAACAGCCTGTAGATGAAGAACACCTCTGATGCTGAATCAAGAAAAGACTAAGATGAGCAGAAAAAAGCACCTGCAGAAGTTTCTAACCCTTGAGTTGTCATCTTTGGTGAAAAGAGTATCTCTTGTATTGTCAGCCAGTAGATTTCCATGTCATACTGCTTTTCTCTGGACTTCCCATCAAGCAACTCATCATGTTCAAGGTGCTTTTATTTTAGCCTGACTTTTAAAAATAAGTTTTAAAACCTTGAGGAGGAGAATCACTGCTGACAACTTTTACCTCAACTGGAGAAGAACTTTCATGCTTTGTGCAAAAGATCATCTGGGCCGTATACAGAACATTTCTGGGAGCTAGACTATATAAAGGCCTCCCACAGGAACTGCTTGCCATCATGAACCTCAACGCTGCTCAAAGTGCTCTAAATTAGCATACATCCTTTTTTCAAGAAAATAGATACACTTAACAGAGAAAAGAAAAATACAAGTGATACAGTCAGCACAGAATTCTTCCAGTTAAGTATATCTAAACCTTTACCAAAATTTGAAAATAAATATTGTTCTAAAACTTATCTGAATTTAATAAGTATTTTTCCATTTTAGGTACATGGAGGTAACAGGCAGTTGGACTTGAGTCAGTTTAAGAAACTGGGGTTTATATTCCACTCCAGTCTATAGAGACTCTTCTTGATGGCCATCATCATCATATTTGTGTACCTGGAAATCTACAGTTTTGCCAAAACTTGCCGAGTCACACTTACTGTTAGTCTTTACTTTTTATCTTTTAAAAATGCACACAACTTGCATGCAAAATGAAATTACTGCTCGCTACTGGCTTTGAGCACTTTCAATTAATTTCCCTTGACTTTATCACACTTAGCAATATATAATACAGTCAGTGCCCACAGAAATGAATCTCCTCAATAACTGACTTCAGGTTGATGGTAATCAGAAATTTCATCACAAAAAATCAATTTATTCAATTTTCTTTGTTCAAGGTACAAATATAAAGGCAAATCAAACATGAACTAAAACCAGAACAAGCAATTCTTTTCTTCTCCAAGTGGAAAAGAACTTGAAATGTTGTTCTTAAATTCCTATTAACTTACACAATTTCCACTGCAGCTAAACTAAAACCAGAACTGAATTGAAAAACTTACTGGTTCTGCTTGCTTAATATAACCTCATTTTTTATTTAATTCATTAAACTTTATTAGAAATGCATTCAGTTTCTGATTGTTGTAGTGAAAAAAAATGCATCCTCTCAAGAAGGTTTTGGCTTTCCTCCGCCCCCTCCATAAAATGCTGTTTGTAACCAACTTTGGCTAGATGAGCAATCCAGACTTGAGAGATCAGCAGGATACACATTTCTCTCCAGTAAGAGAGTTTCCTATTAACTGCTGTTATACTTAAATATTGATCTGGAAGCTTGAACATGTCTTGCTTCAACTTTTTAAAAAAAGCACCAAGTTCCGCTGGGTGCTGGCATTTATATTCATAGATTCTAGTCATGCTCAGCGAGCAGCAATTAGAAGATATCCCTTGAGTAGCAGCAATTCTAAAAATACTCTGTATGCATCATAGAAGATGAAGTACCACTTTCCGCTAAAGTAATGCATGCCGTACATTCAAGTATAATTAGCACACTAGACTTCGTAAATAGTATTAAACTAATTACTGTTTGCACCACTAGTGGCAGATGTGGTTAGAGATTATTAATTACAGTGGACAATTTCTTGAGTTTAACATACCAAATACAAGGCAATTTCTCCACTTTATTTTGTGTCTGAATGGCTATTTACAGAGTATCAGGAGGGCTCTTCTAAATTAGGAAGAACCGTTACTTATGAAAATGAGCAAGTGAAGTAATAGACTTCATTTTCTCAAAAAAAAAAAAGCTGTTTTTCAACAATATAATTATTTTTAGTTAATAAATTTCAGTATACAACTATTCTAAATCAGGGAAACTATTTTACAGCAGTGCTATGTGCCATAAATTTATAAGCACTGGACAGGCAGGAAGTTTTTTCTCTAGCTCCGTAAGGTTAACCGATGTGTTCAGATGCATTTTAAATAAACACCTGAAACTTTCAACATATGTGATAAAGTAAACTGTTCCCCAGAAATGTAGATACTTAAGTAAAACTCACCTACTGGTAGCCAGGGCTTACTTAAAAGAAAGTGGGATAGTCATTCCCTGGCTTCAATATAATGCTCTGCTGAATGTGGGGATTGGAGCAGGGGAAGAAGGGTTGTAAAGGGAAGCTGTCTCCTTGGTGCTATTTTTTCAGGGGAAAAAACCCAGACCATTAAAGTTTAAACAGCGAGGGGAATTTTATTTAATGTGCTGACACAAGGTATTGCAATTTCAGTAAATGTTGATGGACCTCCATAAAAAATGGTACATATTTCTGTCAATGAAAGGCACACCAATAACCCACAGAAGTAAAACAATTATTTTTAAACATTGAGGTGATTCTAGAATGATACAGTCATAATACAGTGACTTGAGGGCTGACAGGCATGTAAGGAGATACCAATAGGTAGTCATACTTCACCTACACTTAAATTTCTTTTCTAGAACATCCTTCACCATATAAACATAAATTGAACTGTTTAGTTCTGTACTATTTCTCCTCTATTAATTGATTACATTTTCGTGCATAAGGACCATCTTCTTGAATACCACTCTTTCGTGAGCATTAATGAAAATAAACATTAAACTTAAATTCCTATTTATATTTTTTATTAATTTTTGTATTTTCACTTAATAAGGCTTTGTAATATAAATACTCAACTAACACACACACCAAATAGGATTCAGCTTCTAAAAACACTTAATTGCTAAGATGACTCATTCTTACAAATTTATCAATTTGCTAATGCCTTTCTTGATTTAAGCTCTATATTGAGTGTGCCCTTAACCTAATTCCAATAAAAATGCATAAATTTCAGTTTGAATTAAATGGCCACCCCAGTAAGCGTGGTAGGTTATGCTTTTGGTAACAATTCAGGCACCAAAAAGCACTCACACAGGTGACAGTCATTTGTCAATCACCGATTCAAGCATTCCAACCTGCTGATTTGCTGACAACTATTTCACAATGTAACTGGTCTGGCTGCAGCTAGCTTAGCTCAAAGTAAATCACTTAACAAAACCTTCAAAGAAAACAAATCTTCAGGGATGTAAGAAGCTTACAGTATGTGGGCTTGGCAATTGTAATGCAATTTTTAGTAAGCAATCCGTTATGCTTAAAACAAAAAAAAAAAACCACCATAACTGCTATAAACTGTTACTCTTGATGATGATCTCATCAGGAAGAGTATTGATGGAATGGGTCATCAACCCTCAGAGGTGGTCTTTCCAAGCTATGTTAAAAGCATAATGACAAATGAAGTGGTGAAATTTTCACTAATAAATAGCAAAATACTAGCTTAGAGGCTGAAGAAAGACTTATAGAAACAAGTGTTATATTTACACAAAAATCCTTTTAAGAACTGCTATTTCTAAACTTTAATCCCTTCTCATTCTCCAACTTCTCAACTAAATATAGTAAACTGAGTCTGAATGCCTTGCTGCTTCTTTGAAAATTAAATCTCTCTATAAACAACAAGGATTTTTCCTGTCAAATAGAACCACAATACATTTTAAGCCATAATTTAAACAGTTTCTAAATCTTCAAAACATTCTATTATCAATGGAATTAGGCCAATTAGACTGCAACTATTTAACTTGTTTTCAAACTTACAGTCAAGCGATGGATTGTCAACAAGACAGGATGCTGTATTACTGCTTCAAAGGTTGATAAAGTAGTCTTAATCAATTCTTCTGATGCAGCTTGCCCTATTAGTAAAAATCATTGTACTTCTTTATAAAATGCAACAGGTATAATGCCTGCTTATAAAAGTACAGAAATATCATAAGTTACCTTACCTATTGCTCCATCCAAGTTTGTTTCTCCTGAATCTATCGATCTGATAAAATTCTACAGAAGAGGAGGCATTTATGTTAAAACACTTGAGAAAAATTAAGAAGCATAATCACTGAATAATTACAACATGAAATTCTTCAAGGGACTGTGTAAATACAAAATGCTAATGCACCTACACTAGGAAACATTGTCATAATAAGATATGAAAGACTGAATGCATTCATGATCTAGCTGTTATAATTGTGCAAGCCTGTAATGCAGCTGGACACTTAAATGTAGAGTACAGTAAGGAATATTACTCTGCCTAATGTCAGGAATGACAACATTTCCAGCTAAATAGATAGTAATTAAATGCCTTTATTGTTAACAGAAAACTGTAATTTCTAAGACGACTTTGAACTACCTTGAACATGGCTATGTTAACATAACTCACTAAAAAGACCAAAGACCCTCCGGAAAATGCAATTTTCTGTTATTTGTAACACCTTTTTGATCTCCATGCATACTACAGACACTATGGATACAGTTACACACAGAACAACATACAAAAATGCATAACCTGTTAAAAATCACCTAAATTAGTCAACATTTTGAGGAACAGGGAAAACAAAATATTAATAACCTCAGTTATGTAAATATTGTACATTGAGATCAATTATTCTTTTGCCTTTAAATCTTGATTTCACTCTTTTGCTTTCACTTCTATGCATAGCTGTTTATTTCATAGGGGATGCAAAAGACATGTTATTAACAATTGCTAAAGAAGGAAAAATTCTCAGCAGAATTGATCATATGTTCTTTTTTACCAATGCAGCATTTAATACACAGAGAATTTACCATGGATAAATATCTTTCTCATTTTCAATTTGCACACATACCTACTTATTTATATGATGTAAAGCATTAAGAAAATTATCCTTGTTTTATATTTCACTATCAATTAAAATTTTGTTATGATATATTAAATTGGCAGAAATGTCTATGGGTTATTTTTTTCTCAGTATGTAAGAAACATCTGAAGGATTCTTCTCTACTTAAAAATACAGTTAGAAACTAATTATATATTTCATAATTTAAATGCATCTCGGAGGCAGTAATAAAAAACAACTGCTTGTATAAAGAAAAGTTATTTTATCTTCCTGATATTTTGAAGAAAATTACTATTTATTACCTAATTAACTTCTTTGGGAAGAGAGTATTATTTCATTTGCTCATTTAAGACAGTTTCACACCTAACCATAGTCTCAAGACCAGTTTGGAAAAATCAATATAGTCGGTCCAAAAATTGTTCTGCCTACTAACATTTATTTCCTCAATTTTATATTAGAAACACAAGAAGGAGATGCATTTATACAAAAGAACAACTGTCTGGGGTTTTTTAAGCAACAGAGAGAAATGGTGCTTGTGTTCCATTACAGGTGCATCTGTGCTGTGCACAATGTGCTAGGAGCCTACCATTAGCTGTGCCTTTGGGGCAGAGCTTGTCCTCCATGTATTTCTATTCACAGCTGAAAACATGAAAGGACTGTCCCGACTCCCTCTCAGTTTCTTTGCACAACAGTACTGAAAATTACAATGATGATGGAAATAACTTCAAAGCAGCAAGCAAAAAAAATTCTCAATGAACAACAGTTACAGATCATTTCTTATTGTTAAGAGCAAGGTTTTTGAATAAATCAGAAAAAAAAACCAAAAACAAAACAAAAAATCCAAAAGCCTGAAGGACTGACTTGCTAAAGTCTTAGAGGCCTCAATAATAGCACAGTACGTTGAAAAAATACAGGCTGGTGACCAAATGTCCTTTTATAGATGTTAACACAAATGTTGCTAAACACAAAATTCCAGAGTAGACTGGTCCCTGGTAGAATGGATAGTAACTCTTCCAGAAGTAACTACATTAGTCATATCATAACACGGTTCTATAAAATGGATTCAAACTTGATATTCACTTTTCAGATATACTACTTCCCCTCCCATTTTCACAAGTAAATTGAAATAGTATACGTAAGGTCCTGAGTTGCCTTGTTCAATGGTGACAGAAGGACAAGATGCAGGAAATATTCAGTAAAGTAATCTTCTCCTCCTTGATCTGAGAGGAAAGCTGTGCTAGTATAACTAGCCTGACTTCCTCAGTCAGTAGTTCAAGCAAGCTGGAGTAACATCAAAAGAAAACTTACATTGTACCTGGTCTGCTGTACCTATATGGTTGACAGAAGAATCTCACCTTGCAGAAGGTTGATCCAAAGCCATTAATAAATCTACTGCCTAGTTACAAATGCTTCAAAGAGATAAAAGGCTTTGTAATTCAACATCTAGATTTTTAAAATTTTTTTTTTCATTCTAATGCTAATTTTTATACAAATATTTTAGTAGACCTAAATTAAACCCACATTTTCTTGGAATCAATAGTCAAAGGACAAAACAGAAGGGAATCTCCACAGTAAACTTTAACCTAGCTGTTTACAGAATCATAGAATTGTTTAACCTTTAAGATCACGATTTGATCTTGACCAAGTTTGTGGTGAAGCATTTCTTCATGCTATTGTGGAAGTAATTACCTAGTTGTCATTTATGAACCCATGTACTTATAAGTATTTGCTTAACTCTGATACGAACTTTAGTATATGCTTTTTTCTCAGTTAGCAGAAACAACTTTTATCATATGAGGAAATTACATTACAACAGTACTAATTCATTTTTGCTATACTATCCTATGACACAGTTAAAAAGATCATTTGCTATTGCTGCTGTCATAAATAGACTGTAGATGTTAACATGAGACAAATATCTTAGCTCTGTAGCTTACAATACTCAGCTTTTCATCAACTAAATGTGTAAAGTGTAAAAGTACTGACAAGAAGAAAAAGGAAAGAATACCTTAAATATAGATTAGGTTATCATTTCTCTTTTATTTCTACTCATAAAATACTAGCGTGAAATTTAAGAAAGAACTTTCTGTGTAATTTAGAGCTAAACTTCTCTACTCTGAAATGAAGTATGCAAGAAATTCTCAGTTTATCAGACATGCAGAATTTCACTGTATTTGAACACAGGATAGCATATTTGCCCTTTGACCCTATATATATACACACACAGAGTTTTTAATATAATCAAAGCTTAAATTTTATATTCAGAACAAATTTCTCTCCCCAGTTTATAAATTTAATGTAATTTTATTACATTAAATGTAATTTTATTATATTAAAATAATTCAAAAAAAGTTATGCATATGTATATCTGGTAAACAAGATTTAACTTAGATTATTATACTCACAAGTAAGGTCCCATAGTTGAAAAGAAACTCCTCTGTGACTATCTGGGGACGAAATACCTATTTGAATTCAGCAAAAGTTGAAAAAATTACATTAATTGCATATCTTATGACCAGAAAAAGTAAAGCATGTATTTCACAGCCATGTTAAAAAAAAAGAGGATAAAATATATATTTGCTTCTATAATTGGAGTTGTTTTACAATGTGCAAAAATAAGGCTTACAGTTTTACTGTTGTCTGGAATACTCATTAACATATCTACACATTAATAGAAGTCTTATCTTAACCATTCTGACCATGATCAGCAGAAATTAGATTTTGGGGAAACTGCTAGAGTTTTTCCTTTGTTTAACAATTTTTGGGGGGGAAAAAAAAAAAGAAAAATCTACCGGGGATGTCACAAGATGAAGCACTACAGGCATCATGGGAAGGCACATCTTCAGCTGTTTGGCCTGAACTGTTGATGGGTGTTTACGTCCAGAGACATTAGTTAAGGCAGTGAGAATGTCACCTACAGAAAACAACATAACATTTCAGACTGATCTAACATAATTCCTTTACTAAACAACAGCAAACAACATATAAAACATGTCTGTTCCAGCACCCTCTGTTCAACCCCATGTTCTCCCTCCTGCTCAAAGTACTGTTCACGTGACTGCATGATAAATCAGGCTGATCCAGCACTTTTCTTTCCTAGCTCAATGTTCAGCCAGGCCAAATTCCTGCTCTGGCTACAGGGACAGACGCGCAAATTTGACCTCTGGCAAAATGGTGAGGACAGAAACACAAGGCAGGTGTAGATGCAAAGATGAAATTACCTCTCTTGTGAAGGTGGACTTAATACTGGCTTTAGGTGGCTAAATATGCATGGAATTATACCCTTGAAATTCAGTGGATGCAATTCTATTTCCAGTGAAATAAAAAGAAAAATTCTCATGACTACCAGTTGACCAAGAGCTGAATTCACCATGCTTAGTAGGTGACATAATGCTTGAGCAGTATGTTTTTCCTGCATCATAGTACCACTGGAAGAAAGGAAGAAACATCCCCCTTGCCTCCCTCCAACCTCTTTCAAAAGATCCCTCCACCAGCCATGCACACACACCCTTGTACACAAGTTTAACAATGACGCAAGTGACCTAAAGCAACAGAAATTCTCACGTTCTTATAAAGGAGGTAGCAGCAGGTCAATGAGAGAACTTAGTTGCCTCCATAACAAACCTCAGCCACAATAATAAGGGAACAAAATTTTAATTGCAATAGTGAAAATTATATTACAAACTTCAGGAGAGACATCTAAAAATCAAGGAACGTTATGCTAAATTTATATTAACTTCTGTCTCAGAAAAGCAAGGCCCCTTGTGCATGGGATAAAGAACAGAAGCAGCAGGAGAAAAGTCATGGCTCATATGCAAAGAAGGAAAATTCTGTCCCTATAGCCTTAAAATATTAAAAGCCAAATCCTTTCTTGAAAGAACACTTATTACATTTTTTTCTCTAATGAGAGCGCTGCCCAAAATTCTTAAAGGGAAATCACATAGACATTAAACAAAAAAAGGACAGGATTCAGTATTTGATACAATTTTCATGCCAGAAAAGGCCCTTCCTTTCAGGGTAAGTCACAGAGTTTATTCATGTTGAATAATACCAATGCTTTTCTTCTGCTCCCATGGAGTTCAATTTTCAACATAAGCAGAAATGACAAAGCCTGGCACTGAAGTAAGTTGTAAAAATACCTAGCCTTAAAGATTTGACTTGTTCTATAATATGCTGCTCAAGAAAAAGAAAGCGTTGCCTAAAACTCTCTAAATACATAAACCAAAACAGTTTCTCATCAACACATTTTTGTTTTGAATTACAGTACTGTAATTCAACAAGACCTCTCTGTGGTTAGCAACAAATAATTTCCTCAACAATCTACTCTCCTTCTATGTTTTAAGACCTATATAATCATCACATTTGCAAATTTTGCAGTTGATACACAGATAGATATGGTTACTTAAATTTTTAGCAGGATCTAAGCAATTTAGATCTACTTCCTAGAAATAGGTTAAATATTACAAATGCAGACATAAAATTAGTTTCTTACCTACAACTGAAAGCTTTTAAAATTATCCACAAGATTAACAATTTATTTCATTTGTTTAAATGTATCTTTAAGCCCAATTTCTACAATTTGTTAATCTATTTGGTTTATAGCTACATCTGGTGGAAGAAGATGGAATCAGTAAGCAGCTTACATAAATGCATATTAAAAAAGCCAGCCAGCTAGGATTAATTCTACATCAACAGTTAAACTGCTTTTAACTGTTCCACTTTGCAAATCTGGTTATTTTTCTTAGAAGCCCATAGCTTTACCTCCCCAAGCACAACATGTTCCTTTGTCATTCTCACAGCAATAAGAAGAAAAAGCCTTCTGACAAACGTGGGCAAATATGAACAGATAGCTTTATCATACTAAAAACAATCAACACACAAATCTAGCTCGGAAAGGAAAACAAGGTGTAAAAATTATGCTTGATATATCACTTGTCAACAATGCATTGAAATTGTACATCAGCAGTAAAAAAACCACAGCAGAATATATGTTAAAGCAATTGATATACTACGTATTATAAAGACGGTAACTATATATTTGATGTATAGTACTTCCAGGTTTTGAGGAAATATCGGGGCCTACTATATTAGTTACATATAGTACATACAGACAGCACGAGGTGAATTTCTGCCTCAAACATTTATAGTCTGAGACTTCCAAATCCTGAAATACAGCCAATATGCAAACACGATATTTATTTAGAAAAAAAAAGATCAGGTATTTGCACCAAGGCAAAAATTTGCATTGCCATAGGAAGTAAAGTTTCTTTTAAAAGAGCAGCTTGACATTTTGGTCTACTGACCTTTGCAGTGCTACCATTTCATTTTCAATATTCTAGCGACAATGTAGAGAAGATGAAAAATAAATCAGGTATCATCTCATCAGAAAATATTTTATAAGAAAAATGTTTTATAATGTAATGACAAAGCATATGCAACCAGGGTTGGTTGGGTTTGCTCCCTTTCTTTTCTTGAATACTCACAGCATTTCCTTCCTTGTCTTCCTATTTAGCTTTCTTACTCTATTCTGCAGGAGATCTCACCCACCAGAAGTTTTAATAAGAATTTTAATGATGATTCTCACTGGTCATCTCTCATTTTCTCCTTCCTTCCTGTCTCCTTCTTCCTCCCTTCTCTCTCTTTCCTTCCCTTCCTCCTCCCCCTCTCTTCCTCTATCCCTTCTCCCTCTCCACTCTTCCCTCCACTCAGGTCCTTCAGTTTTCCTCCCCCTCCCTCCTCTTTCCTCCCTTTTCTTCCTACCCTCCTCTCCCCCCTCCTCCCACTTCCCTTCCTCCTTCTTCCCTTTCTTCCCTTCTTTCCCTTCTTCCTTCACTTGCTCCTAGTTAACTTGTTCAACTAAAAACCTCATCTTTCCTCATATAACATACAGCACAGCTTTTTCCAGGAAAGACAATCCCACCATTCTTACTCATCTAAGGTAATTTCTGTGACATTTCTCTTATTCGGTATCAACCCTATGTTCAAGTCACACCAACAGATCCTCCAATTTTACAAGGTTTTATCTACTGCTTTTGTACAAATGGCCAAAATTCTCATCGTGTTTCATGACCTCCTCTTGACTGAATCCCCAGACTCTCACACTAATTTCTTTCTACTCCAGTTTCTACTCTGGTTGCCCAATGAGTCCAAATTATGCACTGCAATTTGCAGGTCTTGCCCTATTCGCACGCATGCCTTTCACTGTTCCTTCTGCAAGTCCCCTCTTGCCCAGTACCTCATCCCACTATGACAAGTTTTGAGCATATTCAGTGATGACAGGACTTTAGCTGCAATACTGAAGAAAATTTCTGTTTGAACATATATGAACAGCACAAAGTTCAAAGTAGCTTTTTATCTTTCCAAAGGCTCAAATACTATTGAAATTTCAGCAGATAGTCACAAAATTGTCCAAATATATATCCTCAGCATAAAAACTACTTCACTGAAACTTCAAGACTTTATTCCTAAGTATAAGGGATGGGCTGAGGTAGCACTGATATCCTCTCAGAGAAAATCTTTCCATCTTTGCTTATGCATGAGTAAATCAGTTTCAGACATCTAGAACAACTGAAGTATCTAGGCTGAATTTTTCAAGAAAAATTGCCTGAAGCAAATACTTAACATATATAAGTTTCAGTGTAACACGTACTCAGAGATATGCCCGTTGCACGTCTCCTAGCTCTGTGCTTTATGAGGCAAATTTGCGCTTAGGTTTTTCAATGTTTGGAATATCTTTAGAACATTGATAAAACCTCCTGTACATTTGGGCCTCATTCCTGACTGAGTTGATGGGGATTACCATTCAGCAAATACAAAACATTAATATAGGAAACGATGGTTTCCAATACAAAATATCTGATCATGACATAATTAAAAAAATTCATGAAGCTGGTATCATGCAAACTTTATGTAATCAAACAATACACCTGTATATGTAAGGAGATACTTATTTCCAGGGGGAATAAACAAAGGTAAGATTTCTTCAGTTAACCAACTGAATTTACCTAGAATTCCTGGCAGCTCCCGCACAATGTGATAGATGAGAAGATCCAGGCATTTTGACAGGTATTCACTGCCACCTTGCTGCTCTTTTCCTGGTGTGGTCTTTCTGCTGTCTCTTTCAATATACATCACGAGTCTACATTTAAGCAAGTGCAAAACATTACCTCTCATAACAAAAAAATGACACTCTATCTCAAAAATACTACTGAACCAGACATTTCTAGTATCTGTGGTTACAATCAAGATGATACATTAGTTTTGGCTCTATAATTTTGATGAAATTTTAGACTTTCCCTTTCAAATAAATCCATTTTAAAAATAACACAATTGACTGTGTCAAGGAACAAGAGGAAAGAAACCTTTAAGCTACTGTAAGTAAGCACAACTCTACTAGTTTAAATTAATATATGATGCTAACATAAGGAGTGAATCCCTCTGAAGACTTAAGAGACTAATTTTAAATCCATTTTATTTTGAAATATATGACCAATATGCACAATATGAGCAAAAGACTAAAGACATTAATTTTCAACATGTAAGAATTCCTAAAGCATGAATAATTTAAGTCAATGTAACAAGAGATCAATCTTTCAGTCAAGAAAAATCATACGACATAAATCATACTACAGCCTATCAAAATGTTAGCACTAGTCAGAATGGCCATATTGAAAGAGATGAAAGTCCAAACTAGCCTTACATCCTTTCTCTAGAAATCTGGTGCTCAAGATTTCTAAAGACAAACTCAATGCTTATATTCTGACTGATAAGTGCCATGTAGATATGCTGTTCTTCAGAATGACAATTCTCATGGCAAACTATTGCAACTGATTTGTTAGCCATTGGCTAACTCACAAAAGATTGCTTTAATAATACACCTGTAACAGAATGCTTCAGGCAGTATTTTAAAATGCTCATTTGAATAGACAGAAGGGCCAGACTTCCCTTTAGGGGCATAATATTGACATCTTTGTTTCACATTTGAACCCCCTGGGGTCTCTGCAAACAGACACCAGTCACTGGAGAGTGAAATCCATGCTCTGGATTTTAAAAATGTATTACAGTATTATCTTTTTTTTCTTTTTAATACCCTTCTTGTAATCAATGCTCTTTTCTAGAAGTGTGAAAATAACTTATTTATGTAAACTGCTTTAAGTACACAACAAAAGTGCAGGACTCACGAACAAAATTTTATACTAGGAGGTTTGTATTTCCATCAAAAAAACAATTTACTCAATGAAATAAAAACTTTCTAAGAATGCATTTTGGAAGATTAAACCTCTAAACAGTGCATTATTGTTATGGAATAATACAACTCACCTTATCCTTCCTCAACTGTGCTACAGAGACAAAGATAGAGATAACTCAAAAGACCCATTCAGTAACTACCTTTCACCTTTGCAACACATTCAGCTGCACTTGCCAGAGACTGTGGGGACATGTTTTATTTTTCTTGCAATCTCTGGAAACTGTATTAAATTTCAAGGAATTTTTGTCTGGTAGAAGAGAACTACTTAAAAATCTGACATTATGCTTCAAAAAGAATTTTCCTTAAAAAAAGCTTTAAGGTTTTTTTAATATAAAAAAGTGAATGTTTTAAATTAAAACAGTATAAAGCCCTCTAACCTTTCCAAACAACCAAGTAATTTTTACTCAAAAACTGTTTAACTTTGAACAAAAACATGACAAAAGATCAGAGTTTGTATGGATTTTTTTCTTTAAGAAAACACTCCTATGATTTAACAATCATCTGATTCTATATAGAAATATGTTTAGATTTGTGTAAGTTTTACTTCAAATAGGCTGAATAGACTTCAACATGAGTGCTTTTATTGCTGGGGGGGGAAGGGGGTTAATTTTTTAAAAGCATGTTCTATTATTTAATTCCATTTGAGAAGCACACAAAGTCTGCTCACTTATTCTGAGAGGAAAAATACAAAGTTTACGTAAACTCATGAGCTGTCTCTTTTTTTGTTTTCTGTCCCATCACAGAATTGTCTTTCACATAAAGATTTTCTAAAAATATGGACAACTATTTTTTCTCTGATAGTACTGTTCAACTAAACATTGTCTTGAGAAAATTGTACAGATCCATATATAGGCAGGAAAGCTTTAGTATCTCTATTTTCCCTCAACAAATTCCCCATTTATATATGGAACAATTAATCAGTTACTTTTATTCCCTGAAGAATCTCAGTGTTCTGTCCAATGGGCAAAACTAGGCCTAAGGGAATACATTTATTCAATTCATATAATGCACGTTTGTCTTGCACTCAACAATACATGAAAAAAATACATAAGTGTTACCATGAAGAAGTTAAATATGATGAGGAATAAACCACTGCCTATGAAGCCAGGTTAGATTAAAAAAAATTTCTTCAAGTATCTGTATTGCATGATATGGCCATCAGCGATCTTTTACACAAAAAAGCACAACAACCCAAGTTTTCTGAGAAAAGATGTGAAGAGTGGAGCAAAAAGGAGAACTGCAGAGAGTAAACAGTCCTGAGTAACAGGAATAGGAATGAGATCTACTACTTTAAAAGTATGAGAACTGTTCACTTATAAAGATGATCAACATGAAAAAGAGAAGACAGTCAAAATTCAGAAGACTAAGCAGAGATGTGCTAACACACGGTCTTCAAATATACTGAAGTCACTGTAAAAGGAAAGGAGCCTAAATTGTTTTCTGTTTTCTGTGCTGAACCTGTAGAATTGAAATTTCAATGAGAAAACAACAAGAATTTTTGAGTGTTAGGAATAGCTAACAATTAGAACAGCTATGAAAAACAGGTCACGCAATACCCACCAATCATTAAAAAATATTTCTCAGGCATAACAGACCTTGCCTGGATCAGAAGGGTAGACCCTGCAACCCCTTGAGGTCTCTCTGGGAACTGTTTTCTAAAATTCATTCATTCATTCCCTTCTATCAGTGACATTAGAACCGTTTTCTAAAATTCATTCATTCATTCATTCCCTTCTATCAGTGACATTTACTCTCAACATCCTTCAAATCAGCTTTAGATTTAGTTTCAGCTGCAACTTTACCAGCATCTCAACAGGGGGAAAAATGCACGCGGCCGTCAGATGACTGAACCTAAAAGTCGGAGGTCTCTCACTAGCAATCTTCTCCCTGGTTCTCCCTTCAGTTCACTAAGTTCACAAGGAATGACAGACCTCCAAGAAACTCAAGAATGTCTTGCATGCTCTGAGGACATATACTGTCCATTTACCCCGACAATTCAAGGACCTGCTTTCAGTCAACCTCTGCTAACAGAAAATTTCCATGTTTTCCCATTGACTGAGCACCAAAATTTTCTGTTCTTTTTCTCACTATTTTTCTCAGCCAATCTTAGACATATAAGGCCAACAGGCTATGCTAGATGTGAGATTGTAATAGGTCTCCAGGTAAAGCTTTTCCTTTGAGGGCATATACAAGATCTGAAAATTTTAAAAATATGGGAGGTGGGGACAGATAATAGTGAAAGATTTTGCTCAAAAGTTATGCTTTTGTGCATAGTTAGGGTTTTGCAGACTGTGAAAGTCTATCAGGAATACTACCCTATCTTTCCACAAGTGTCCACCTCTGCAGACAGTAGAAAAAGAGGTTTAAATAAATTCTTTAGGGAAGAAGTTCCATCTCCAAGGCAGTCTCTGTTCACCTAGGAAATTCTCTGAAACCATTCAGATCCAGAAAGAACAATTCAGTGAGACTAATCCCCTCAATTAACAGGTAGGCTGCTATTGCAAATCACAGAGAAAACAAGGAGACTAGAAAACTCAGGGTGATTAGCACAATAAATGAACTTGCATATTGTAAGCAAACAAGTGCTATTTCAGCCTAAAAGGTCTCATATCTTCTCTAGCTGTATTGCATGTGGAAGAACAAAAGATATGTAATGGACTACCATGAGACAGGTAGAAAAAAGAATAACAGATGACATGTATCAATGTTGTGTGAGAAAAAATTCACTTCAAAATTACATTTGATATTACATATAAATGCTTTTCATCCACAGATCTCAAAATCTCTAAGTACTTTGGAAAGTCCTAGTGGAATTTCCTCGGTGACATCCGTTGTCAAGCTCTTGAATTACACAATCCCACCACAACTAGTTTCATAATTTAAAAATATGCCACAACAGATTCAGAGAATTTGGGGTTTTTAAAAAAAAAAAAAAATAAAAAAATCACAAAAATCTCTGCAAAGGTCTGTATAATTTTGATGACTAAACTAATCAAAAGCCTTTTCCAATGCCAAACTGAACAATATTTAACTTGAAGCTGTAAAGATATATGCAGTGTTGCCATGGAAGTTATTACTCTTTTATCCTCTGCATCATATCCTTTAACTAACGCACACTGAAAAAGGCCTTATATTGATTATTTTATAATCTAAAGCAATACAAATCCTGTTATAGACATTAGCTGCAACTGCTAAATACAAATCAGTAGGTAGAAATTATGCACATTTTACTACATACTCTTTGTATTTCTCAAATCAAACACCTTCATAAAGAGATTTGAGTATATCAAACATTTTCAATAGTTATCCAACTGATTACTGCTTACTGCACTAGCAATTTTGAATTTATTAGTCTTAATTTTGAAGTAACTTTTCTGCCACAGAACTGGAGACATTTAACTAAAATACACCAATAGGAATTCAACAGTATAAATCAAAGAATATCCATTATCTCTACTGGGCTTAATAAAATTCTTCCAGAGTTCAGAATATTATGAAAGTAGCTGCTTCCACATATAATGGGTCATTTCATCCTACTGTAGCCATCTTACTTTTTGGATGTAAGAGAAAGGTTTTAGTCTAGATGATCTACCCTGTCAAGAGATACACTGTTCCCTGAAGAACAATTATGAAGAAAACATAACAAATTAAGAAAAATAGTTTATCAGATCAATAAAGCTGCTATAAGCCTTGCCTACTGTTTTACCTAATGTGTTATATTATGTATTAGTCCCTAATTGGCTCTGTCTGGAGCATAACAATACAACAGCAAGATAAAGCCAAAATTCACAATACAAAATAACATCCCAAATTCACCATACACTCTCTTCAGAAAGGCTGCTCATTTGAAAACATTATAAATAAAGAGATCAAATTGTCAATAAAAATTTTTAAAGTTCTTCTCCTTCACATAATACCTTAGGTATAATGAAACAAATAGTAACTGTCAGTACAGGATTTCTGCCGGACATTCTTCCAGACACACAGCTCAGTCCTATGTGCTATAAAAAGCACATGAATAACAGTAGTCATCAAAAATGTAATCATTCAAAAAGTCACTTACAAATCAGTAGAGAAATCTTTCAATAACCAGAAGAGATCACCTGATAAAACATTTCTGGTAGTATAAAAAGATACACATGAAAAAGAAACTTGGATTCAGCACTTATTTTCTATGATCTACAAAAATAGGGATATGTACAGATTTGTAAGTGCGGGGAGGGTTATATAATGACAGCGCCCCACAAGATGTCCTCTCACAATGGCATAATGGTATAACTCACTTGCTCCTTCCAAGCCAGCCTTTTAGCTCCAATGCGTATGTTTTATTTCTTCTCAAACATCAATAAAAGATATGAAGTTGTATTTGCTGTAAATGTAGTTTGATTTACAGCTACCCACACGCCTCATCCTTTTTTGCTTTCAGTTCCAAACCTGCTTTATTTCAATATAAAAACTGGGTTTACACTACATTTTGCTGTTCTTCATAATGAACAGTAGAAGATATAAGTCCCAAATAAAATTTCTTCCATCTTACCTCTCCAATCACCCCCAAAATGTGGTGACAATTTACATTTTAACAGAGTCTAATTTCCTGTTGTCTGATATGGGAATGTTTTTGTGCCACCAGAAGACACAAAAATTCAAATAACTATTCCAATGTGAGTCTAATGTAATTTTAGAGAAGTCATTTCCTGCAAAGTATTTTAAAACATAGAAAAAAAAAATATTCCATATAAAAGTCACAGAAATTCAGTGATCATTATAGAAATCACTCCAACACCACATGTAGCCAAGAAATATTATTCTACCTTGCATGTGCCTATACTGTAAAGACTATGGATTATACCACACCTCAAGATAAGGTACATGACAAGACCTTTTTATTTTGCTTTCCCACCGTAGCAACAACTCACTTTTGCAGTAGTTGCTACCCAAAGCAAAATCTGCTCATTGCTAATGGTCACTGGGTCCACAAGTTACTTTAAAAGACAGACTCTCCCTGTGAGACCGTGGTTTCCCCTTGGGAGTTATCATCACCTGATGACCCCAGACAAAAGAGAAAATACTTTTCTTGACATACTCATTAATAAAAGGATTTACATTACACAGAAATAGTTCACTCCTAAAACACTGGCTCAAGAATACCACACTTTTTAACTTATTTCAGGTATGACTTTGAAAATAAATACTAAAACTCCAATTATCTTCCATTATTACCTTACCTTGCTTGACAACTGAGTAGCAACATCTCCCTGTTATTAATTAAAACTTGTAGCAGGACCAGAAAGGCTTTTGCTCGAATAAAAGTTGAAGGACTTTCAAGTAAACGAGTAATTGTAGTCACAAAATCCTTGGTGGAAAAAAAACACCAATACATTAATATTATTTTATGGAAAAAGGTTACTTGCACTGTATTTTAACATTGTGTACATTTAAAATTTGCTCATTTTCATGTGCATTCTGTATTAGTAAGGTACTTTTCATGTCACTCAGAAAAAAAAACAACCAACCACATAAAACACCACTAAATAAATTCTGTCAAAGACAGATTAGCCCAGTGCAAAGCTGCTTTGCACATCTCAAGAACTGCAACAAGTAAACACTATCTAATGTACTATGTCCACAAATTAAGGATAAATGTAGGATATTTTAATATATTTATTTTAAAAGAACACTGAAGGATTTTCAAAATACATAAATATTTCAGCACAAATATGACTAAATGTTTACCTATTAATTCCCATATATGCAGGAAGATTAAGAATACCACTGTTTTTGGACACAACCATGTCTACATCAGACTCTAAATTAACCACAGATGCTCTAAATAGACAGTAAAACTTTCTACCTTCTCTGATTGTACTTATCTAAACTAATTTTATTTTGGGTTCATGAAGTGAAGAACACCTTTTCAAGGAACAACCCAAATTAGGACTTGGAAAGAAAGAAAAAGGATAGACGGCAAGCATTAAGGAGTCATGACTTTCCTAATCCATTGACCATTTTCCATTCCTATGATAAGTCAATGTGTAAGATGTTAAAGATCTTTGCTAACTCCTTCCTTCCTGTAAATCCAAATGCAAGAATAATTTGAAAAGTTTAACAAGGATAGTGAGAAATAAAGAACAATCACAAAATATTTCCCTTCGTAAGTTTAACAGTGGTTAGCTGACTGGATTCTGAAATCACAGCTTTCTTCTTTTTCTCTTGCTCTCTGTTTTGCCACGTATATTGAAAGGATTTTCTTCTCTAGTTTCTGGAATCTGGCCTGACATGTGGAAAGATGTGAGATTCATGTGCTCTGCCTCAGCTTCCAAGGGAATAAAGCTGAGAATCAGTGGAAGGAAAAAAGAGCTCCCATATTATGAGTAACAGAATTAGGTATTACGAGTTGTAAAAAGCATAAGATGGGGATCATTTATGCTCTGTCCGACAATATTTGTAACTACTGGAAAATCAAAGTAGAAAACAGGGGGGAAAAAAAGGCAAAAAACATATGGAGTATCCTCTACCTCTGAGGAATAAACACATCTGCTACTCATCTGTACTCTTCATCTATGAAGACCAACTGGGCTATGGGCTAGCTGGTAAAAAAAATAAATAAATTAAAAAATCCATCTTTAAAAATGACCTTGCTGGCAGCAGCAATGGTATTTTTGGATCAGCTCTTGATTAGAAACGCCTTGTTCTGAAAACACAAATCCTGCTTCAAATTGCTCTCAAAAAAAGAAAAAAAAAAAAACAGAACTAAAGACTAAGCCAGAATTTACAAACTGAATCAATCGGCTCTATTCAGGAATTAGACTGAGCACAAATGGCCTCATGAACAGAAACTACCTTCAAACATTTGAGATGGATTCTCAAGGGAGTGACACTACAGAATAAAGAGGTGTGTAGTGTGTGCATGCATGTTGCATACAAACTTTTAAATGTGCATCACAGCAGGATTTTACATACCAATCATTATTCAAATTCCCTTCTTTGCTGACAGAATAACTGAAAAGCAACTTCATTGTCATAAAAATGAAAATCAATACTGAATGTAATTTATTAGAGACAGTCTTTGCAACAATTAACTATACCTCTTTACAGAGACTGGAAAAAGTACAGGAGTGTAAGAGATGGCCAACAATCAGATTCTACACTGATACCATTTTACCACTGTTTTCAAAAGCTGCCAGCATAGACAGTAACTACAGAACTCCCAGAAAAACAAACTGTTATTAATTATTTGATAATTGTTTTGTTGTATTTCTGTAATTTACTTCATAAACAGAAGAGTTCCTCAGTCTTGTGGTTAATAAGCATAAGCTGTGTGAAGTTTACTGCTTTAAACACTTCAATAGCTCGTGGAGCATGACTTGTAGCTCCTCCCGTAGCAGCAAAGTTCTTGAATCACAGTCTACTGTTGGAAAGGTTGAAATTTTAATCAAGTGGGGTTTTGTGGGAGTTTGGGGTTTTTTTAGGAAATTTCTCATAACCACCAAAAAAAGTTTTTACATTAAGATATTCCATAAAGCCTCAGATTTAGTGAAAGAATACATCTAATGCAACACTGCCTGTTAACAAAAATGGACCTGATAGACCAAGCACAGGGACACCATGACAAAGACACATGCAACTACAAGGCAAAGCACATCTGACTATTTTCAGTCCTCACGCCCTGGAAAGCAAGAATATTTCAATGTTACATTGGGGATTACCATGGGTTAAGACAACACTGTCAATTAAAATCAGTTATATCAGACTTATCTGGGAATGTTCTAATAATCTGGCTTAAGAAATAAATGTGACATCTTGGAATTTGTTTTTCTGGCTGGTCTGAGACTGAAAAAAAGCAACAGTGTATCCAAAGAAAATCTGAAGCACATCTTTGCTGACCTGCAGAACTCAATAGAACAGAAAAGCCAAAAATTGCTGAAATACCTTCTAATACATTAATTATTAATCGTTTCACTGTTATATTGTTCTTCCCTCCCCTGCAACCGTTTGATGTATCCATGGAGACTCTGCAGGGTAAGGCCACTCTTTTCATTGCAAGTGAACACACTATTGACTTCAACAAGATCATGATTTTATATTGGATACTCTTAGTAATACTGCAAAGCAAGTTTAAAACAAATCACAAAAAGCAATGATGTTTTCAAATTGGCTACACAAGGGAAAAATAGATCACTATATCACTGTACAGGAACTGAAGTTGTGATAGCAATCATTTATTGTATTGCTATGTATTTTCAAATTCCCTTTCTATGCATTGCAAATGCCTCCATAATGTTGTATATTAACAGTTACAAAGATTTTGTTAAAGACATTTATATTTTTTTATTAATCCATACTAATATTAACAAAACCATCAGCATCAGAGGTAGCTATGGTAGCTATTGTCCACATTCACGTAAAAGACAAAAAATTGAAAAAAGTAACTGAAATATGAGGACAACATTTATAATGCATTTATACTGCTTTTTTTCAGTGCCATAATTGGATATGAC